AGTGCATGCTCTCTCTCTCTCCCTTCCTCCCCATCTCTCTCTTTCTCCCTCCATGTATGTGTGTGGTGTGTGTGTGTTTGTGTGTCTGTTTCTGCTCTTGGAATGTATATACTATGTTGTGAGGAATGTAGATACTATGTTGTGAGGAAGCCCAGTCAATATGGAGAGACAAGGTGTGGGTGTTCTGGCTAACAACCCTAGATAGACTCCTAGCCAACAGCTAGCATCAATTGTCACACATGTGAGTAAACAAAGCCTTAATATGGTTCCAGCCTCCACCTTCAAGTCTTCTAACTGAAATCCTAGATATCAGAGAACAGAGACAATCTATACCCTCTGATGCCCTGTATGAACCAGAAGCTTAAGGAGGTGATAAATGATTTTGTATTATATTGAGCCACTAAATGTAGGGGTAACATATTACACAGTAGTAGGTAGATAATGCAAATTGTTTATAGTTCATAGTTCTCTGGAATAACAAGAAACCACCTCTGGATATAATTGGAGATGACGTTTGGGGTCTTGAGAGAGATAAGTATATTTTACATTTAGGTGGAACATAAACCATAGGGAGAGGTAAGTATATTTTGCATTTAGGTGGAACATGAACCATAGGGACAAGAGTGTAGACTGTGCTATATTGTTACATTAAAAACCTCCGAAGAACAATACCTCTATGTATCCATGTCCTTGGTTAATCCTCTCCTATATTGAGTCTAGACTTGACCATGTGGCTTTCTTTGGCCAATGTGATTCAAGCAAAATCTTGAAAGTACTTGCACTTTAGGGCTTGTCCTTTCTCGATGTTGGGAACCCTAATACCACTGTGGGAAGAAGCATGGCCTTACCTGCTAGAGGATTAAAAAAAAAAAAAAAGCTCCTGGAGAGAGCCCAATTATCCCAGTCATTCCAGATGAGGCTCCAGAATTAACCAGCCCCCCCCCCACAAAAAAGGAGCATAGTTATCATAGTTATGCAAGAGGGGACAACATGAGCAAAGGCACAGAGTCATGAACTAGCAGTCTGTGTGCAGAGGACCAACTAAAAGCAGTTCTGTATTACTGTAGGGTCATGTTTGAGATGCGGTATAGCAATAGTGTCTTAAAAAACCAAGTCACAAAGGTATTTTATGCTTTGCCTTCATTCTTCCTGTGGGTCATTATGGGTCTTAAGCAGGGACAAGACATAATCAGTTTACAATTTAGAAAGATCACTTTGGTGGCAGAATACCTAAAGAGGAATGTGCACAGGAGGAACAGTGATCTTTAACACAGTACGGAAGTCCTAGCCTCAGCAATCAGACAACAAAAAGAAATAAAAGGCATCCAAACGGGCAAGAAAAAAGTCAAACTTTCACTATTCACAGATGACATGATACTCTATGTAGAAAACCCAAAAGAATCCACCAATAAATTACTAGAACTGATACACCAATTCAGTAAAGACACAGGATACAAAATCAATGTACAGAAATCTGTTGCGTTTCAAGGAATCTATCCCACTTTCAACTGTACCAAAAACCATAAGATACCTAGAAATAAATCTAACCAAAGAGGTAAAAGATCTGTACTCTGAAAACTACAGAGCACTTATGAAAGAAATTGAACGTGACACAGAATGGAAAAACATTCCATGCTCATGGATTAAAAGAACAAATATTGTTAAAATGTCTATACTCCCCAAAGCAATCTACACATTTAATGCAATATCCCTGTCAAAATACCACTAGCATTTTTCACAGAGCTAGAACAAACAATCCTAAAATTTGTATGGAACCACAAAAGACCACAAGTAGCCAAAGCAATCTTGAAAAAGAAAAGCAAAACTGTAGGCATCACAATTCCTGACTTCAAGTAATATTACAAAGCTGTAGTGATCAAGACAGTATGATATTGGCACAAAAACATACACATAGATAAATGTAATAGAATAGAAAACCAGGAATGGACCCACAACTATATGGCCAATTCATGTTCAACAAGGCAGGAAAGAATTCCCAATGAAAACAGACATTCTCTCCAACAAATAATGTTGAGAAAACTGGATAGCAACATGCAAAGGAAAGAAACTGGACCACTGGCTTATACCATACACAAAATAAATTCAAAATGAATGAAAGACCTACATGTGAGACAGGAAACCATCAAAATCCTAGAGGAGAATATAGGGAACAACCTCTTGACATTGGCCATGACAACTTCTTACTAGATACATTTCCAAAAGCAAGGGATACAAAAGCAAAAATGAACAATTGGGACTTAATCAATATTAAAAGCTTCTGTACAGCAAAAGAAACAATCAATAAAACTAAAAGGCAACTTTTGGAATAGGAGAAGATATTTGCAAATGACATATCTGATACAGGGTTAGCATCCAAAATCTATAAAGAACTTATGAAACTCAACACCCAAAAAAATAAATAATCCAGTTAAGAAATGGGCAGAAGACATGAATAGAAAGACACTTTTCCAAAGATGACATTCAGATGGCTAGCAGACACATGAAAAGATGCTCAACAGCATTCATCATCAGGGAAATACAAATCAAAACTACAATGAGATATCACCTCATACCCATTAGGAGAACCACTATCCAAAAGAGAGAGAGAGAGAAAACAACAACAAAATAACAGCAGCAAGGATGTGGAGAAATTAGAGACCTTGAGTACCGCTGGTGAGATTGTAAAATGGTTGAACCACTATGGAAAGCAATATAGACATTCCTCAAAAAAAAAATTTGTAGAATTATCATACCACCCAATAATTCCACTGCTGGGTAGATAGCGAAATAATTTTGAAGTAGAGTCTCAAAAAGACATTGCACACCCATGTTCATAGCAGCACTATTCACAATAGCCAAGAGGTGGAAGCAACCTAAATGTTCATTGATGGTTGCATGGTTAAAGAAAATGTGATGTATACATACAATGTGATACTATTCAGCCTTAAAAAGGAAAAAAAAATTCCTACTACATGCTACTGGCATGAATAAACCTTGAGGACATCATACTAAGTGAAATAAGCCAATCACAAAAAGACATGTGATTCCACTTATATAAAAGTACCTGAAGTAGTCAAATTTATAGAAACAGAAAGTAAAATGGTGGTTACCAGCGGCTGAGGGGAAGGGAAGAAAGGGGACTAGTTTAATGGGTACAGAGTTTCCATTTTGGAAAATGAAAAACTTCTGGAGATCTGTTGTACAATGATGTGAATGTACTTAACAGTAGGGAACTGTACAGTTCACAATGATTTAGATCATAAACGTTATGTTATGCCAGTTTTTAAAATTTTTTTTATGGTAGTAAATACATTTTTATTTTTATTTTTTTTTTTTACAAATAGTTTATTGTCAAATTAGTTTCCACATAACACCCAGTGCTCATCCCCACAAGTGCCCTCCTCCATGCCCATCCCCCCCTCCCCCCCACATCCATCAGTCCTCAGTTTTTGTCAGCATTCAAGAGTCTCTCATGGTTTGCCTCTCTCCCTTTCCCCCACCATTTCCCCCCTTCTTCTCCCGATTAGTCCTCTGTTAAGTTCCTCCTAGTCCTCCTATACGTGCACACATATGATATTTGTCCTTCTCTGCCTGACTTATTTTTTAAATGTTTATTTATTTTTGAGAGAGAAAGACAGGCCGTGAGTAGGAGAGGGGCAGAGAGAGAGGGAGACAGAATCGGAAGCAGGCTCCAGGCTCTGAGCTGTCCCCACAGAGCCCATCGCGGGGCTGGAACCCACAAACTGCGAGATCATGACCTGAACCGAAGTTAGATGCCTAACCAACTGAGCCACCCAGGCGCCCCAACCAGTTTTTTTTTTTTTTTAAATCACGATAAAAAGATGCATAGAAAACTATGGAAACAAAGTACAAACTCCTGACACATCAGGCACAGTCTCAGCCCTTAATGTATTTACGGTCTAGTGAGTTCCTAGGCAGCATGGACTATGTTTTACTGACTTTTATCCTCAGCACCCTGCAGCGTCTGGCATACAGCAGGCACTCAAGAATTGTTGGCTAGGATGGGGCACCTGGGTGAGTCAGTTGGTTAAACGTCTGACTTAGGCTCAGGTCATGATCTCTCAGTTCATGAATTCAAGCCCTGCTTGTGAGGTTGAGCCCCACTTTGGGCTCCACACTAACAGTGCGGACCCTGAGTGGGATTCTCTCTCTCTCCCTCACTCTCTGACCTTTGCTCACTCTTGCCCTCTCTCTCAAAAAAAATTAATTTTATTTATGGCTAAGCTAATGAGAAGGCAGAAAGAAAGAAAAAAAGAGAAAGAGAGAGAACGAGAGAGAGGGGAGGCCAGAGACATGAAGAGCCCTAAGACATGAAAGGAGAAAAGGGCAGAAAGCATTGAGCCTTAAAAAAATTATTGTGCTCTATGTGGGTTCCGGAGAGGCGGTATGCCTAGGACAAGGGTGGGGTGGGGTGGTCATGGTGTCTATAAAGGTGGCAAATGTGGAAAACCAAGCTTCTGGCCCTAGTACAAACTACACAATTACTCAGGGACATATGTGGAACAGAATCATAGCTTGTTGGGGGGCCAGGAAGAATAGTAAAAATTACAGCCAGCTACCCACTGACAAAGCTTGATATATTCTGATTTAGTTTAAATGAGGGGTGTTGCTTTCAGAGAGAAACTTAACCTCCACCACGCCCTCTTACACAAGACTTCTGAACCACTTTCTCAAACGCTGAGGCTCGCACCAAAAGTTCGGGCGGCAGAGCGAGTGTTGAGTGGTCCAGCCGCCCTTCCCCGGCGCCCCCCCCCCCTTCCCGAGGGCTAGGTGGGTTGGGGACGTCAGCGCTCGAACTCCGAACGCAGTACAGTGAGGGGCGTGGCCTGGAGGACGCATTACCCTGGCGACCACCGCGGTGGCTGCCCAGACTTGATCTGATCGGAGAGTGGGAAAGGTGTGAGTGAAGAGGCGAAACGAAGACGGCTTGCTGCCCCAGCCCCCTCCCCACCCGGCACCCTGGGGGCTGACGGGCGGCCATGGAGCTGTACCTCAGCAACTGCTATAAGGCTGCCGAAGCCGCCGCCACCAAGGCGGCCGCCAGCAGCCTAGCTGCCGACAGGGAGCAGTGCGCCACAGTGAGTGGCGGCTAGTGGGCCGCAGTGGTCCTCCTCCTAGCTCCTGGGCGGAGTCTCGGTCCGCGGGCCGACGGAAGGGGCGGAGACCTCATCGGAGGGAGCGGGGAGGCGGCGGCGGAGGTTGGGGGGGAAGGGGCGGGTGCCTGAGGACTCAGCTTCAGGCCGCTTGGCTGGGCTGGTGGGGAGCGCTGCGGGTGGCGAGGACCAGCATTGGGTGCGGTCCAGACAAACGGTAACCCGTGGAAGCTGAGAGTCTTTCCGGATCGTCAGCAGGGCGGGCTCTTTTAACCCTGAGTGGATGGTTCTTTGGTTTATGTGAAAGTATTAGCCCATTGAAATGTGTGTGAGTAGTTTCATCTAAACTAAAAGAATAGGTCTTTAAAAAAAAGGACAAAACATGGAAAGAGCCTAAGTGTCCATCAACAGACGAATGGATCAAGAAGATGTGGTTTATCTATACCATGGAATACTACATGGCAATGAGAAAATGAAATCTGGCCATGTGTAGCAACATGGATGGAACTTGAGGGTGTTATGCTGAGTGAAATAAGTCAGGCAGAGAAGGACAGATACCATATGTTTGCACGTATAGGAGGATTAGGAGGAACTTAACGGAGGACTGTGGGGNGTGGCGAGGACCAGCATTGGGTGCGGTCCAGACAAACGGTAACCCGTGGAAGCTGAGAGTCTTTCCGGATCGTCAGCAGGGCGGGCTCTTTTAACCCTGAGTGGATGGTTCTTTGGTTTATGTGAAAGTATTAGCCCATTGAAATGTGTGTGAGTAGTTTCATCTAAACTAAAAGAATAGGTCTTTAAAAAAAAGGACAAAACATGGAAAGAGCCTAAGTGTCCATCAACAGACGAATGGATCAAGAAGATGTGGTTTATCTATACCATGGAATACTACATGGCAATGAGAAAATGAAATCTGGCCATGTGTAGCAACATGGATGGAACTTGAGGGTGTTAGGCTGAGTGAAAAAAAAGACAGACTTTCTCGTTGTATCTAACAGGGCTCACACAAAAAAACCATTCCAGAGGTCGGAGCAGCTAATCTATTGGATCTTCCTCTTGGGGTCAAGCTGCCTGTTATCCCAGGAAGCAACAATATATTCTATACTACAAATATAAGTGAAAAGGTAAACTGAGTTTTAATACTGCTTAAGTGATTTTCTTTACCCTTTTTAGCGTACTATTAAACTTGAAACACTTGCTATGATTTTGCTTTGAGTCAACTTCAATTTCACACACAAAGCGAAGGCAAATGAGTTCAAATGTTTAGCGTCTGAACTTCACCTTAATGATGGAAGGTCCCATGATATGCCTCAGCCACCAGTGCAGCCTTACCTCCAAACCAAAGCCTGTGCTCCCAAAGGTTGGGGTCTTTTCTGCCTACCTAAACATATCATGCTAATTCTTACTTCTGTGCCTTTGTCCACCTGGCTCCCACAACCTGGCATGCACTCTTCTCCCCTTCCTGACCTTCAATGAGCCCTCTTTTAAGAGCTACTATAAGAAGCCTTTCACAAGTATCGCAACACCCAACTAATCTTTTCTTACAATTTACATACCCTTGGTCTGCACTATCTTACTTAGCACTGAATCAGCACTTTTAGTGATTTAGCATGCTGCATTCACATTGTTGCACATTTTGACTCCTCTGCCTAACACCCCCAGTCTGTCCTTAATTTAGGCCAAGACTGAAGGAGGTTCAGAACTTTCTAGCTGAGAGTGTGCTTTAAGCACAGTAGCAAAAGATTCTACAGGAATAATTTTGACATCCTTCTTCTTGCACTGTGTAGTATGTCATCAAGGATGAGTACAGGCTTCTTGGTATTTTGGGTACTTTTCTAATATATAAGATTTTTAAAGTTTTTTTGGTAGAAAACAACAGAGTTTCTCTTTTGAAAATGCATAATGGTCTACTAAATATATACCAACCTCACAGAAATTGACTGAGTAACACTCCCACAGATTAGCTTTCTTAAAACATACTCAAATCCTATTTCACTACTAGTAATAACATTCCATTTTAGTTTGTAACTTTAGCCCTATCTGTTGTTTTTTTCCCTCAGTTATCTTCTATTTGCATATTTCTATTCTGTTCCTGCTGTTCACTTGTAAGCTACTTCTTATTTCCAGGTTTTTTTCTATACTCAATTACAGTGATTATCTCTATATTATATTGATTAGCCCCAAAATATATGCATTTAATCATGATGGGGCACTGCATTCAGCTCCCCTAAAGACTAACTTTGTGGGATCTTTGTCTTTAAGAGGATCTCCTCAAGAAGGTAAGACTTTATATATACATCATTAGGTGTTTTTTATTTTCTTACTCATTTTACCCTTATCACCACCTTGTAAGGTGAAGCTATGATTTATCTAGGGTCACAGGTAGATAGTAACAGAGTTCTGACCAGAACCACCATCTCCTGACTCTTAGGGCATGTTTCTTTACCTGACCTTTCTGCTTCCTCAACTGCTGACCATTTTAGCAGATCACTATAGAAACAGGGAATTTAAAGGTCTTTCATGTTGTTTTGAAAGCAAATGGAAGGCAAAATTATATCATCCAACTGTTTTATTTTCAATCAGATTAAAATGTAACAATGTAACCTATGTGTCTTTAGCTCTGCATTAATCCAAACCTGACAAGTGATCCGATACTTCAACATTTTGATACCAAACTTATTCTCAAGTAATTTATTTATAAATTAATTTGCTTATTAGTATACTATACTTAGATGGCAACTGCTCATAAACTTAAATTGTTTTCATTGTAAAGTTAATAGTAAAAACTTTGCCAATTAACTTAGACATTCTGCTTTCAAGAAAAGATAACCTGTTAAGAGAACAATTTTCATACTTTTAAAATTCTTCCCTGTGACCTCCCACTGGCAGGTAGTGATGTTATAATAGATTCTTCAGTTGAGGGAAACCAATCATTTTAATTGACAATAGAAAACTTACCCTGGCCTCAACAAATGGATTTGTTTCTTTCTTTATAGGTCAGTAGCCCAGGGCTGGTCAACACATGTCTGTTACCAACTAAAGTCAACATCTAAAAGAAGCCATAATCAATCCGCTAATTGCATCATTGTTTCAACTGCCATCACTGTTGATCATTTCTCTTCTAGGAAAGATGTGGGCTTCCTATCTAGTCTCACTGTAAATTAAATCATTGCCCAGAAGGATGTCTTTCTTTGCCTTTTTAAGGAAACATTGGTAGTCAGTGAATCCAGTTTCCTGATATAGGTCCCTTAAGAAATACAAGAGGCTAGCATCAATCAAGCAGTCAGAAACTTACAAAGGAAGCTTTTAAATGGAAAAAGAAAGCTAGAACTCTATCATGCACTTCTTGTATTACCCTCTGCCCACATATGAAGGATCCTGTCTGCCTTACAAGAACTCTTAGGGCGACACATCACTGTTCATTAATTGGACTGAGGTTGAGGCTACCACCTCCAACCTGAAGACAGTTTTGGTAGAGAAGAGAGAAAGAGGCAGTGAAATTTACCTAAATCAACCCACTGTCCACATTCCCTTACTTCAGGTTCTGCTTGTATGCTTCATTTTTACTGAACAACCTAGTCATTTCAACAAATTGAGGTTTATAAGTGTAATTTCATCCATTTTACATATGTAATACTTTTGAATCTGTGTATTTGCAGCTTTATCAGCCTTCTTATGACTTTAACCTGACTGATCCTTATTGCCGACTTTTGGAGACCAGCTATAAAAGTCTGCATGATCCACATTTAAAAACATACTATAAACGAAAAGATATCCTAAGGAGATTAAAGAAGGATGGCTACATCACCAGCAATAATAAAGTAGGTTGAAGTCTACTTCCTTTTAACTAATAGAAGTCTAGGGACTTGATAGACACTTGGTTCTGTTCTTCACTAGGAGCCTACATCAACTTTGGTTAGACAATAAAGAATATTTATTAGAGAACTCAATTAATTACTCAGTATTTGGATCTCTAAATAAGACTACTTGTTCCTTCTTGATCTTTTTTCTTTGATAACAGCAAAAGATAAGCATTAAATGATTCAAATATGTAAAGACATCCATACACACGTATTTATTTGTGTATTTTCTCCCAGCTGTATTGTAGTGCCTTTCCTCTTGCTCTAAAAGTAATAATGGCACAATATACCTATCAAGGAATATTTCCTATACTTTTTGAGAAGACTAGAGATAAAACAAAAACCTAGCAGAAAATAGCATAATGAAATAAATTGGGGGGGGTTATTAAATGTCATTATTATACTGGTGTTTTAATAACAAATTCATTGGGAATAGTAAATTTCTGAGTATGATGTGAACCATATTGTTGACATAATATTATTTAGATAGAAATTTCCTGGTGATACAACAGTTTTAGATACAACTCTCCAAATTGCTACCAGAATGTGCTATTATTACCCTTGATCCCAAAATTGTTACTAAAATGAATGCTCTTATGACATTTTTCTCTGGAAAGCTTTGTGATTGTCAAAACTTTCTGTTTATATATTTCATTTTTGGTTTTGTTTTTATAGGTCATATGTACTTTGAAAGAACTGAATAAATACAGGCAGTATCTGACGACTTTAAAATTAGACTTTGAAAGAAACTATATAAAACAACAAGTAAGTTGATACTTAAATTTGTTTTATTTTGGACCTGTAAAGATAGTTTTTATGCAGGATTTGGAAGAAAGGTTTGGTCCTCTGCAGAATATTTACTTATAATAACCTGACCTAGAATTATTAAAGTAACAAATCAAATAAGATCTCTAGAGATCTATAAGAAATAAAAATGAGACTGTTGCCTTTAATTTACAGACAGAAATTTTCACTTTTCTGGAATGGAGTCACATTAGATTTAAGTTCAGGTTAACAGAATTAACCATTTGTAAAGTACAGGAGGTTTACTAAGCCCTAAACTCAAGAAGGCAGACCAAAGGGTAGGTTTATTTCTAGCTAATATAAAGACTTTAATTTTTTTTCTCTCAGAAAATGATTGAAAAACAAGTAAATAAATTGTATGAAACCAAGAGAGCCTGTGATAGTTATGAAAACACACAGTTCCAAGGATGGCTGTTACAGGAAAGTAGACAAGCAACTCCAGACCAAGAGCTGGTAATAAAACACAGGTACGAATGAAATTAATGCATATTTCGTGGACATATTATAGACCCCAGGAAGTTGTTGAACTACTAGAGATCATTGAAAGCAGGATGAAAAAAAAGTATTAGACACTATTTACCTTCCTATAATTTTCAACATGGAGAGAAAGGAAAAGGAGATTAAGAGGTAACAGGTTTTGGGAACCCTGGTGTCAAGGCTTGGGAGCAGAGTTTCTTCCTGAGAAACTGGAGTCACCAGAAGCCCAAGGGGTAAGCCAAACTGATATTTGAAGAAATGCAAAGTACAAATCCCTGAGCTTGGGAAATCCACGTCCATATTAGCAGAGAGAGAGAAGGTGTGTTCAGCATGTTTCAAAATTAAGTTTAAGGAAATTACTGCAGGGTCAAAAAAGGAGAGTTCCTATAACTTTATCTGATGCTAATACAAACAGGTGTTGTTCCCCCACCAACCGTGTGTGTTCATTCAGCTATTACCCACACACGTGCACTGTTACAATTAGGAGGCCAAGCCCATGCCCCAGGAGGCAGAGATGAGTTCTAGTTCTCTTTGTCCTTTATCAGGGGTGAGGGCCAGTCCCCCTTCCCCTGTCTCTTAAATTCCATGGATTCATGTCATGATATGCCAGAATATGTGCTGATCTACCAAGGTCCCAGAGTGGTAGTCTGCAGATCTCTCTATACATGGAAGGTCATTCAAGGACTTGGAAGTTACAGAGAGGCCAGTAACCACTTATTTTTTGGTAATTTTTAAAAGTTTATTTATTTATTTTGAGAGAGAGCATGCAAGTAGAGGGGCAGAGACAGAGGGGGAGAGAGAATCCCAAGCAGGCTCCACACTCAGCATGGAGCCTGACACAGGTCTCAATCTCACAATCGCGAGATCATGACCTGAGTTGAAATTAAGAGTTGGATACTTAACCAACTGAGCCTACCCAGGCATCCTTTACCCATTCTTTTATTTAATTTTTTAAATGTTTTATTTATTTTTATGAGAGAGAGATAGAGACAGCGTGTGCAGGGGAGGGTCAGAGAGAGAGGGAGATACAGATCTGAAGGCATGCTCCAGGCTCTGAGCTAGCTGTCAGCACAGAGCCCGGCGTGGGGCTCGAACCCACGAACCGTGAGATCATGACCTGAGCCGAAGTCGGACACTTAACTGACTGAGCTACACAGGCGCCCCTACCCACTCTTTTTTTTTTTTTAAGGAAATTCCAATTACTTATGTTTTGAAGTCAGTCTTTAAGCTGATTTCAGCTGCCTTTGGAAATTCATGTTCCTCAAACTGCTGAGCTATAGATAATCTCTGTATAAAATGTTTTTAATCACTCTGTTCCACATTTTGCTATTGTCTCAGCCACAATAAAAAACTTTTGTAACAGAGTCTAGTAAAATTAGTACAGCATGGTGAGTTAGGGGATCAGGTTAGCTTAAAGGTCCCTAAAAAATTAGATTTCCTGTATTTAAGAAACAAAATACAACGCAGAAGGTGGTTTGGGAATATCAAAGTAGATAATACCATCATAAGGGAAATATCCAATTTACTTTAACTTATATTTGCACTTTTACTTAGATATTTAGATATGATTAGTAGGGAATTAGACAAGGTGGAGCACACGGCAGAAAAGCAGAGTGCACTCCGGATGAAGGAAGAAGAACTACGACATCAGGACCACATTAGAAGAAAACTTAGTCTTCGTAGACAAATTGAAGAGGTGAGGAAAACCAAATTTTGAAAATTGAAGGGGAAATTGTGTATGGTTGTTTCATTGGTAAACATTTTTAGCAGTTCCACCATAGGACCTGAAGCTATTTCAGATCTAAAAAATAAACCACTATTAAAAATAATAATTTAAAGAATAAACCACTACTTTTTATCAGTCATTCTAGACAAGCTTTTACTTAACATAGTGAGATCAATACCACAAATTATATATCTATTGCATTTTTAGTCACACCTCATCTGCTCTGAAAGTTTAAGATATTACCTCTCGTGAAAAATTATCATGCCTGTATTCTCTCAAAGTACAGACAAGCTTATTTATTTATCTTCTCTGTCAAAATACATTTAAGAGCAACTGATTACATGTGATATACCCCTTAGTCAATAAGAGAAAACCCTCTTGCCAACATCTTTTTAGACCCATCTTTGGAGCCAGGCTTATGCTTGAGTTAAGTTTCCAACAGTAAAATAATTATCTTCCTTTTGCCATTCTATTGCATTCACCAACATATTCCCAATGAAAAGCAGTAAGAGAAACCCATTCTAAAGACACTGTAAGATTTTTATTATGGTTGACTCGATTTCTGTAAGACCCTTCACTTGATCTAATTTGCTTATTGACAAAATACAAAAAAACCAAAAAGATAATGAAAGAAAACCCTCTACTAAATATGATAACATTGTGCTCCTAAGGAATGGAAGATGAAAGAAATGTTACTTTTGACCAAGATTGGAGAAGAAGTAAAAAGAGAAGCCAGAATTGAGGAACAACGTCAAAAAGTCAGGGAGGAAGCTCACCGGAAGGTAGAGTGAGCTTTTACCAATAACGTGGGCTATTTGAGGAAAAGCTTTTTGCCAATTTTGATACTTTAAAGTATGAGTTATCAAAAGTGGCTTAAACTCGTGAGAATAGTTATTGATGGAGAGACCCAGTCTGTTCTGAACCTGGACTTCAAGGGTTGGTCTCAAATGCAACCAGTGTCCAGAAAGTAGGCAATGAGTTAAATTGGATCTAGTTGTTAACAATATATTCTTTTTCATGCTGGACAATAAAAGGAAACTCATCCTTACTGCTTTCCTAACTTTGTACTCATTGTTACTTCAGAAATCTCAAAACAGGAAGGAGGGCACCCTTCAAGTAGACATCATATTTGAAATGTCTGTTTTGCATTTCCAGTGGCAAGTTGCTATTAAATTCTTAAATGTTAAATGTATTTTTTAATATTTTAGAAACAAGCACTTTTAGAGAAAAAAATCGCTCATCATTTACAAAAAATGCAAAGGGATGACCTTAAGAGAGAAGGACCAGAGGGAAGTATAAGTGAAAACAAAGGACAAGATGAAAGAGAAGGTGAGAGAGAGACAATAAATGATAAACTTTCTAAGTAGAAGATGCATATCTATATATTAGATATGGTGGCTTTTAAAAAGAATTTCTATGTGCTGATACAGTGAGGTCACAGTTTCCTTGCAAAGGAAAATCCTAGAAGCCCATGCTACCTGTGCCAAGCAGTATGCAAGGCACTTCCTAGTTACAGCTCAAGTTGTAAAGAATGTACACACACACACACACTCACACACACATACACATTATTATGTATATATAACAAATTCAACACTTCTATAAAGTGATTCAGTAAACAACACTGCCTGCACCACAGGTTTAAAAAGTAGCCAGTAAGAGGAAACTAAAAAAATACAACAAACAGGGAGGAAGATATACATATATACACATACATAGAGACAGACAGAGAAAAGGAGCCAGTGAAAGAAAGCATTAGCAAAAAAAAAAAAAAAAAAAGAAAGAAAGAAAGAAAAGAAACAAAGAGGAAGACCAAGGAAAATATTTTTATTTGTTTTTAAAAAATGTTTATTATTTTTGAGAGAAAGAGACACAGAGCATGAGCGGGGGAGGGACAGAGAGACGGGGAGACAGAATCACAAGCAGGCTCCAGGCTCTGAGCTGTCAGTACAGAGCCCGACGTGGGGCTCAAACCTGCAAACTGCGAGATCATGACCTGAGCCGAAGTTGGACATTTAACAGACTAAGCCACCCAAGTGCCCCAAGAAAAATATTTTTAAAAATGGAAGAAAACATTTCAAATGAGGACCAGTAAGAAAAGATTATACAAAACAGCAAGAGAGCAAACTAGTAAGAGAAAGGGGGGGGGGAATGATTTTTTATTTTTTATTTTTATTTTTTTATTTTTTAAGGAGACAAAAGAAGAGACATTTGAAATATACCAAGCATAGAACAGAAATAGATTAAAAAAAAAAACACCCAAAAGGTTAAAAAGGAAGAGGCAGTAAGAAAAGATGGTACAAACAGAAAAAATGAAGAGAAGGAAAGAATGAATAGGAGAGAAAAAGAAAGAAAACTGAACAAAGTAAACCAATAAGAAAACACACACACACACACACACACACACACACACACACACACACGTCACATTAGATGAGGAGGAAAACAAAAGCAAAGAAAGGAGACAAAGAGACTAGAAGGAGACAGAAAGACAGGAAAAGAAAAAAGTGAAAGAAAGAAGAAACAGATATACAAGGGGAAAATACAGGAACAAAGAGGGAGAAAGGAAGATGGAGAAGAAAGAAGTTTAAAAAGGATAAGTCAGTGGGACAAAGCAAAATAAAAATAGACACAGCCTCTCACAGAGACAAAGGAGTTTGACAGATAGTGAGAGTCTAGTGAGAGACAAAAGAATTTGAGTCATCTAAAAAGGAGTCAGTTCAGAGGTGCCTGGCTGGCTCAGTCAGCAGAGCACATGATTTGATCTTAGGGTCCTGAGTTCAAGCCCCATGTTGGGCATAGAGCTTACGTAAAAAAATTGTTTTAAAGAAATCAGGGGGTGCCTGGGTGGCTTAGTCGGTTAAGCCTCCCACTCTTGATTTCGGTTTTGTGAGATCAAGCCCCACATCAGGCTTTGTGTTGGTGGTGTGGAGCTGCCATTTAAACACTTAAAAATAAATGAATAAAAGAAGTCAATTTAAAAATGCATTAAAATTAGGGGTACCTGGATGGCTCAGTCGGTTTAGCATCTGACTCTTGATTATAGCTCAGGTCATGATCTCACGGTTTGTGAGATAAAATAAACTTAAATTTTATTTTTAAATTACATTAAAATTAGATGGATGTATCAGTCAATCAATTCATAAATACATACATACATTCATATATATGTATATGTATATGTATATATACTTATATAGATTCATATACAGATTTATAGAACTGATTTTTTAAAATACTTTTAATGCTTATTTTTGAGAGAGAGAGAGAATGAATGGGGAAAGGGCAGAGAGAGAGGGAAACAGAATATGAAGCAGGCTCCAGGCCCTGAACTGCCAGCACGGAGCCTGATGCGGGGCTCAAACCCACAAACCATGAGATCATGACCCGAGCTGAAGTCAGATGCTTAATGGACTGAGCAACCCAGGCGCCCCCAATAGAACTGATTTTTAAAGAGAAGCCAGTAGTAAAGACGGGAAAAAAATAGAGGAAAAAAGGGAAAAACAATTTAAAGTAGTGAATATAATGAGAGTAAAAGAAATAGGGGACTGAGGGAGGGGGGTGGGATTAAGGGAAGGAAGGGGCAGGAAGTAAATAAATCTCTAAAAGGGAAGAGTCTGGGAAAAGAAGTAACAAAGAGTGTGAACATGGACAGTGAGAGGATGCTGAAAAGGAGAAGCTAGTGAGAAGATTAAGTACAATCATTGGCAGGAGGAGGAGATCAAGGTCTAAAAAGAAGAAATTAGCTAACAAATATAGTAAAATAATACAGATACAGAGATGCATAGATATAGAAAAGAATGGACTTTAAAAGTACATTCCACTAAAAGGAGTGTAAAAAAAGATAAATAGGAAGACATTATAGGAGGCAGGTATGACACTTTAAGAAGGGAGGAAAAGATGGAAGGATGGAATGGAGGGAGAGAAGGAGAAGGAAAGCAAAGAATTGTGAAAGGGATGAGGCTAGGAAACTTGGTAAAAAAAAATAACAGAGAAGAAATAAGACTAAGTGACACAGGGGTTTAAAAGCAGGAGCTACAGTACAAATTAAGTACAATTGAGGAAGGCAGAGAGAGAGGGAAAGATGTAAAAAGATGTTACTTAAAATAGAGTAAAATAAAGATAGGTAAACTGATGAGACAGCTGAGCCATAGTGGGTGGGTGGGTGGATGGATGGACAGACAGTCGCAAGACTGGACAAAAAAACCCCACAGAAAATAAGAGAGAAGGAAAGAAGTTGTTATAAGGAGTCACTTAAAAGAGAAAGGAAGGGAGGGAGCAAGAAGAAGGAAAGAAGGAAGTAAAGTTTGTACAGGATGAGTCAGTAGGGAAAAGTTATTTGTAAGGGACAGATAGGAGAGTGTAAAGGAAGACCAGTAAAAAAAATCAAGTACAGAGGTGCCTGGGTGGCTCAGTCGGTTAAGCATCTGACTCTTGATTTTGGCTAAAGTCATGATCTCCAGGTGCATGAGTTCCAGCCCTGCACTGACAGTGCAGAGCCTGCTTGGGATTTTCTCTCTCTCTTGCTCTCTCAGTCTCGCTCTCTCTGCCCCTCCCCCACTCACACTGTCTCTGTCTCTCTCGAAATAAATTAATTTTAAAAAATCAAGTACAATTGTATAGTGTGCAAGAGATTTAAAAAGTGGAAGGCAGTAAAACAAAGACCTTAAAGAGAAAGGTGATTGATAGCCATATAGATGGCCACCCAGCTAGGTAGGTGTATAGGTAGAAAGATCTGATTTTAAATAGAAGGAAGCAGCAATGAAAACAGGACAAAGATGTATAAAAAAAGTGGGGAAATGGGAAAAAAAGTTTAAAAAGAGTAGTAGTAAAAAGAGAGTAGATGAACACAGGAAGAAAGAGAGAGGAAAGAAGGGGGAAGGAGGAAGAAAAGATGAATGAACACAGGAAAGAGGGAAAACGAAATGAAGGGACACAGATGGGAAAGAGAGGGTGAGTGTGTGAGTAGTTGGGTGGAGATAACGAAGGAAATAGGAAGAAGGAAGAAACAAATGAGTCAAGGAAGGATGAAAAAAGCAAGAGGGGAGGGAGAGGAAAGAAGGCAGGCAAGCAGGGAAAAAAAAGAAAGAAAAAGAGATAGTGAAAGAAATGGTGTGAGTAAAGATCAGAGGAAAGGGAGGGAAGGGGGAGGAAGTGAGGAATGGAGGGTAGAGAGATCTAAAGAGAAGTCAGATAAAAATAAAGGTGGGTGAATAGATGGAAACCAGGTAGATAGGCAGACAGGATTTTATGAGAAGGGCCTCATACAAAAGACAATATTAGAAGAAAACCTGAGAGAGTGTGAAGGGAAAAAAAGTTTAAAAGGAGAACCAGTAAAAAAGGAGTATATAAAGAATGGAGGGAAGGAGGGAGGAAAGGAGCAGGAAAAAAGAGAAGAAAGGAAGGGAGGCTGGGACATGAGGATAGAGGGAAAGCAGGAAGTAGGGGTGGGGACATAGGGAGGGAAGGAGGGAGGCGGGAAGGCAGGGGTGCAGGTTCACCAAAAGAAGACAAAACAATCCATAGGAAGACAGTTAAAGGAGTAAGAAGGAGACCTAGAGACAGGAGATGAAGATCTAAAGGTAAAATGGAGGGAGGGAGCAGGGAGAAGGAGAGAAGGAAGGCAAGAAAGAAAGAGAAGAATGTTCTAAAATGGGGTAAGGCTAGGAAAACAGTAAAACAAAAAGAAAGATTATTGGAGCAAGACACAGAGGAGTTGAAAAGGAGAAGCTAGGAAGAACATGAAGTACTGAGTGGAGGACAGGGAGAAAGAGATCAACAAAAGTCAGATAAAAATAAAAATAAAGATGGAAGGAAGACAGCTAGATGATAGGTAGGTAAATATGGGTAGATAGACATAATAAAAGGTGGAAGACACCAGAGGAGAATATATTAAATTTTTTTAATGTTTTATTTATTTCTGAGAGAGAGAGCGTGAGCAGGGGAGGGTCAGAGAGAGAGAGGGAGACACAGAATCTGAAACAGGCTCCAGGCTCTGAGCTAGCCATCAGCACGGAGCCCGGAGCCCGGAGCCCGATGCGGGGCTCGAACCCACTAACCATGAGATCATGACCTAAGCCGAAGTCAGACGCTTAATCGACTGAGCCACCCAGGTGCCCTGAGAAGAGAATATATTAAAAAGGTAGAATGAGAGAGAAAGAGGAGAGAAAAGGAAAAAGGTTTGGAAGTGGAGCCAGTGCAAAGTGAATAAAAGACCGTCATCTTCCATCACATAGACACAAAGGGATGCATATCTTAAAACTCTAGTGAAATCCAATCAGCACACATAGTTTGGAATTATTTTGTCTATCTGAATGATTAGAAACAGTAACTGTATTCATCTCTTTCACAGCTGAGGTATATGTGTATTGTTTCCCCTGCCAATCTCTGAGGCACAGCCAAGGAAGAGCATGAGCACTATCACAGCATCTCCAGCATAGTTGTGCTGTTGTGCATCCCCGCACAGAGAAAAGGCCATGTTCTCACTGGGCAGGATGGAGGGATGGAGTTTTTTCCTTCTCCCAGAAGACAATTCTGTTTGCCCAAGTATAGCTTTAACTACACAAGATAATAATGTAAAAGTTATTGTCCTGCCTCCCCATCACATCTGTCCTCGGGTTTCTCAACCTTGCCACTATTGACATTTTGGGCTGGATAATTCTTTGTTGTGGTGGCTGTCCTTTGTGTTGTAGAATGTTTAGTAGCATCCCAGGCCTCCACCCCCTAGATGCCAGGAGTGATCCTCCCTCACCACATGTGTAACAATCACAATGTTTCCAGAAATTTCCAAATGTCCACTAGGGAACAAAATCGCCTCCCACTGAGAACCACTACTTAGCCTCTCCAATTCCTCCTTACAACCCCATATGTACATTAGCATATGGCTCTCCTCCTATTGGGCATGAGAGAATAAATAGACTCTATCTTGGATAACTTTGTCATTTCCACTATTAAAAATAAATATTTTCTTGTGTTCCTTTAAGCTCCTTCTCCAGAGATAAAGAAAACAAGTGATAGTACCAGTGGCCAGAAATTACACCAAGGACAAAAACGTAATTGAAATTATTATGATTAGAAGTACTACAATAGTAATTTGTAGAAAGATAGGATTTGGTACTGACCTCATCTGCTTACAATTCAGATAAATCCTCTATCCTCTGTTATGAATGATGGATTTTGACTCATGTTTGCCAACAGTGCTACAACCTCACTTGCTTTCTGGATTAGACTCCCTAATTGCTTGCTCAGTTCATGTCACCGCCACATGCCCGTGAGCAGAGCAGGCCACATTTTACAGCTGACAAGTCTGCAAGCCCAGTTCATAGCCCTGCTTCTCCATGGCCCCTGCTCCTGATTTCATTTTTGTATTTTTCCATTACCAACAAGATCCCCAGGCACTTTTTTTAACCTGTTCCTCACTGGCTGCTACCGCCACTACTGCCAGTCTTTACTCAGCAGTTCTACCTCCTAGGGAAGTTTTTACCTGTATCTCATTTGTTTCATTCACCTGGAGAGTCATCCTTGCAGATTCCTGACTGGAGGTGCTACTGATGTTTCTGAAGCCAGTAGCCCTAGAGACCTAGTGAGGATGAAGACTCCAGCCCAACACTCTTTCCCAAAACCCTGCCCTTCCTTAGACTTTGGAATTTTCAGGCCTGAAGTAACTTCTGTCACTTCACTGGTAGCAGAAATATTTTACTCTGCCACATATTTTTCTGCAGCAGTGGAGCATGTCCTCAGTGTTGCCCACTCATGTTCCCCTGTTTCTTTTTGAACAGCCTGATGGAATAGTAGTAGTTGTTGCTCTAAAACCTCAACCTATTTCTTGAATAGGCTTCTTTAATATATACATGGCTATCACATTTTGCCAATGTCTTCCTTCCTTTTGGTTTCGGGCTCAGTCATTGATTTTTCTAACATACTACTGTAAACTTTGTGGGATCCCCATAATGGCCCTGAATTTCATGCAGCCTCCCCCATTTTCTTTCCAAAAGATAATGTCCAGATGTTGGGTAAGAGGTGTGGCTTATGTTCTTAATCCTCTATGTGTCAGCAATATGGGCATCACCTAAAAAGCTTATTAGAAATGCAGATTCTCAGGCTTTACTCTGGACCTACCGAACTGGAATCCACATTTTCACAAGATCCCTGTGCTTTATATGCACATTAAAGCTTGGGGAACAGTGGATTCTGTGACCTCATGGAGGTGAAATAAAGCCATGGTGCTTAGATGAAATGTCTTCTGCCTCTGGTCTCCAGAGAGATGTCCTCATCTCCTCTGACATAGTGCTTGGCCTATTGACATTCACAGTGGAAGTCAGCCATCAGGGCAGTGACTCATGGTCTGGTTCCACTGAGCTTAGAGCTCTCTGGCTTTCCCATTTCATCTCAGTTCTGGCTGGCTTCTCCATAATACTCAGGATGGGGCCTTCTTACCTCCACCACATGACTGCCCTTGGTAAGCTTCCCAGCTAGACTCTCAGCCCTTTCTGGGCCATGCCCATCACATAGAAGCCAAGAGTGGCTTAAGAAAGCAAAATCTTAAGGGGAAATAGGAAGAGGTTGGTAAAAAGGTAGAAGAACTTTTAGCTATAAGATGAATAAAGTCTAAAGCTCTAATGGAAAACATGACTATAGTTGACTGCACTGTATCTAACTGAAACTTGCTGAGAGCAGAACTTAAAATGTTTTCAACAACAACAAAATATAAATATGTGAGGTGATAGATGTGTTAATTAAATAGGGGGATCCTTTCACAATATATACATTTATCAAGTCACTACAATGTATACTCTATCTTACAATTCTGTATGCCAATCATATACATCACTAAGCTGAAATTAAAAAGAAAGAAAGAGAGGGAAAGAAGGAAGGGAAGGAAAGGGAGGGCAGGGGAGGGGAGGGGAGAGGAGGGAAGGGAAGAGAAGGAAAGGAAAGGAAAGGGGAGGGAAGGGGAGGGGAGGGGAGGGAGACCAACTTTGGAGAAAAGCTTGCTCTGCTTCACCATATATATTGTAGTTTCTGGCCCATGTCTCAGGTGAGGAGGAGGCAGAAGTAGGGGCGGGTAGCCTAAGAGATTTCTTCCTAGAACCCTAAGTGGGGAGCAGAGCAATAGTTCTTTTCTCTCTATGCTAACTTTGTTTGTCTGAAGCAACCAAGACCCAAAGTAAAAAAACATGAGGCCTCGTGATTTATTTGCTCTCCAACTCTCCCACCACCCTTTCACTTTCCCACTGTCTCTGAGCTGCTAAAGGAATAGACTTCCCCCACAGAACTTTCTTTAAGTCGTATATTCCTTCTTCCTGAGCTTCCTGAGCCCAGATAGCTCTTCCTGGAGGGCTAGGGTATCTCCAGTACACTAAAGGAGAGTTATCTGAGATAAGTATATCAGTCTGTTGCTATACAAAAATGAAGGTTAAATTCAGGGCAATTCTTGAGACAGTTGCATAGCTTGCAAAGCATACTGTCTTGGCTATGTCATCCTATTTTTGAATGACAGGTGCTGAATATTACTTGGGTGTATATTGTGGCATTCCTCCTGTTAAAAATTCTAACGTCCTCTTCCCTAGTTCCACCCCCAAGCAGGTGAAGTACAAAACTAGGGCAGAGGTCTTGTACTTAAGGAATCAAAAATGAGAAAATAATAGAAAATTTTTAAACAGTAGCCCTGTTGTATAATGGCTGTTTCACACCTGTCAAGCCCCAAAAGTAAACACAACAAAATATGGGTCTCCAGACCTACATCTAGAAGGTATGCTCACTGTAAAAAAAGATGTAAAATATAGAAAAATATGTAATATATAGAATGTAACACCATAGTAAACATGGGGAAAAGGCACAAACATTTTACTGAGGACATACAGATCGCAAATAAGCACATGAAAGAGCTGCTTAATATTATTAGTCATTAGGAAATACAAAGTAAAGCACAATGAGATACAACTATACACCCAGTAAAATAGAATTTAAATAACTGAATTCAAATAAGTGTTTGCAAGGACTTGAAGCAGCCATAACTCTGATATTGCAAGTTGGAATGGAAAATGGTAGCTAATTTCAGTTAAACTTCCATATGATCCCAGCCATCCCTGTCCTAGATATGTGCCCAAAAGAAGTGAAAATATATGTCCACGTAAAGACTCCTAGCAGCATTATTCATAATAGCCAAAAACAACTGGAAACAACCTAAATGCCCGTCAGTGGGCAAATGGATAAAGTGTAGTATAGAATATTATGTAGTAATAAAAAGGAATAAACCATTGTTACAGGCAACAATATTGATGAATTTCAAAAGAAATATGCTAAATGAAGGAAGCCAGACCAAGAAAAAAATAAAATAAAAAGAGAGTACATCCTATTTGATTCCATTTGTAGCAAATTCTAGAAAATGAAAACAATGATAGTGACAGCAGATCAGTGGTTGCCTGGAAGACAGGGGTGGAGAGAGGGATGAACTATAAGGGGAAACAAAGACTTTTGGGAGTGGTGGAAATGTTTGTGGTGATGGTTTCAATAGCTTGTATATGTGTCAAAACTGGACAAATGGTGTGTTTTAAGTATATGTGGTTTATTGTACTTCAATTGAATTTTGATAAAATTGTTTAAAATTATATGATTTCTCTTTCATTTATTTTTAGGACCAGGTCACCGTTCTCAGAGTTTTGTAAAAGTTCCTACCAAAAAACCATCAGTCTTCTTATCTTCTCAGCATGATGTACAGAAAAACAAAGCAGAACAAAAGGTAGAAAGTTGTATGTCTCAGATGCTTTGTATTGATCTTAATTTATCCTCTTAACTATTACTTCTATGAGATACCCTCTTCACGGGCATGGTACTGACTGATCAGAGATAATGGGGTCCTACACAGAACAGAACATTCTGAGTCAGCTTTATGTTAAATGTACCATATGGTTTAGCAGAAACCGACTTAAATATTTGCCAACACTGATAATAGCTAATGTTTACTGAGAACTTGCTGTGGGCCAGGGCCTGTGTTAACCTACAAGGAGGGAAAAACGGGGAAACAATTGACATGGGATACAGAGATGGAAAAGACATCATCACTACTCATGAGGACTCACTATGCAGGGATTAGACACAAATAAACAAAAGTCCTTACCATAAAATAAGAGGAGAGTTTTGATTTGTACAAAATGTAGTTGGAGCACAGAAGATTTAGAGACTGGTCCTGCCTAGAGAAATATAACAAGGCTTTATTAAAGGAGGGCTTCATTGTATTAGGTCTTGAGATATGAGTGCAATGCTTCCAGATGAATGAGGATATAGTGAAGCAGTATTACACACCGATATTAAAGTGTTAAGTGAGAGCACGGTAGTGCAAGCCTGCAAAGGCGGGGCAGCACCAGAGAGGAGACTGAAAAGGTGGGTTGCAGCCATTGTTTTGTATACCTTGCGGAGAATGGATTTGTCATCTCAGTAGTGGAGAACCACTGGAGGTTTTTGAGAAGAGATGTGAAAGAAGAATGAGATGGAGTTTAGAAAGGTAATCTGGGGGCACCTGTCTGGCTCAGTTGGAAAGGCATGCAACTCTTGATCTCCCAGGTCATGAGTTCAAGCCCCACATTGAGTATAGAGATTACTTAAGAAAATACACTTAAAAAAAGAGAGAGAAGCCTTTTTTAAAAACTAAAAAAATAAACAAATAAAAATATAGCCTAATTGAAGTGTACAAGATAGATGCAGTGTTTCAGAGAGAGATTAGAGGGAAGATCATTTTGAGTCTACTGGGATAGTCCAGATAAAAATGATAAGGGCCCAAACTAAGGGAGTGGCAGTGAGGGTAAACCAAAGGCCACAGACTTATGATGTTTTAGAGTTAGGCTATGTCAGGATTTGGTCACTAAATAGATTTGTAAATCCAGAGACAGGGAGAGGATGATGATGATGATGATGATGACGACGACAATGACAATTTAATTTTTGTATATAGCTTCTCTTGAAGTAGGATGTCTTTTCTCTGTGCTCCCATAGTGCTCAGGCCTACCTCTATCTCAGAAATCACTATACTGTGTCATATTTTTCTGTCTGTTCTACTGTAAAATGATAAACTTCTTAAGGTCAGGAATTGTATACCTTATTTTAATTCCAAGCAGTGTGTTCAATAAGGATTAGCTTGGATTGGATTGGTCCTAGCTGAAATAAATGGAGTAACTCTAAGCTTTCTACTGTGGATCACTGGATGGATAGTTTTATCTTGTTTTAAAGTTTATTTACTTATTCTGAGATAGAGTGCACACATGGGAGGGACAGAGAGAGAGGGATAGAAAGAATCTCAAGCAGGCACTGCACTGTCAGTGCAGATCCCAACACGGGGCTTGAACTCACAAACCATAAGATCATGACCTGAGCCAAAACCAAGAGTCAGATGTTTAATCAACTGAGCCACCCATGTGCCCCTAGATTGTTATGTCTGTAACAAAAATATGGAAGACAGAGGAGGAAAAAATTTGGAAAGATGGGAGTACATGAGCACATGACAAGGTTCATTTTGAAGTAGTTAGTTTGGGTACCTGTGAGAGATATTCATCAAAGAGGTTGATACTATGTATTAGCATTGATCCCAGAGCTTAGGAGATATGGGATGGGGAAAAAAGGGGACATACTATATTAATGTGATTTCTCTAGAGCCAGCAAGTCTCTTTTAGAAGCTTAATTACTAATGAATGCTTTTTTCTTGAATATTAAACCATACAGAAAGATAAAGAAATGACTAAAACATCACATATTTTAAATGAAGGTAAGAAAATGACAATATTTATAATTGCTCTGTTATCTTTAAGTTAAATAATTACAGTTTTGTCATGTAGTTTTCTAAATTATGCTTTTTTACCCCTAATTATAAAATCTGTGATTATTTTGATTAAAGAAGATATAAAAATTATTCATGATCGTAAATGTTAGTATCCCACATTTTTGAGTGATTGCTGGGTGAATAGGCACTTTGGAATTTGCAAACCATGGGGAAGTTAGAGTCTCTGCTGTGGCTGCCTATACTGATAGGTAGAGTAAATTTCTGAAGTACTGTGATTTGTGCAGAGAATTCTCTCTAGGAGAAGGTCTCTAATGTCATCCTTTCTCCCCAGACATAAAAATACATCCCATTTCCCATCTTCTGGCTGAACTAGAGGTTAGCTAAGTCTCTGTTAGTCTCTGCAGAAGATTCCCGTGCATATTCTACACAAACACAAAGAGCACTACCTCTCCACCCAAGTGGCCAATTAGCACCTCAAATCCAGTATGCACAAAACCAAATTCATCATCTTCCAGTCATAAAACCTGTTCTCTGTTCCTCCTTTTATTCAGTCACAAAGCCGGAGTCACCTTTGACTCTTTCCTATTGCTCATATTCTAATCCAAAAGTTGTCACATTTTGTCGAATCTACATCCTTTAACCATCTCATAATCTTTCTTTCCTTTCTGTTCACACCACCCCTGCCCTTAACAACTGCAATAATTTGCCTTCAGTCTCTTTTTCCTCTTGTTAATCTATCCTATAGTTTGTTATGAATGTAATCTTCTCGAAATATAGCTTTGAACATATAATTCCTCTACTCAAAAGTCTTCGGTGGTTTCCCCTTGCCAACTGAATAAAGTGCAAAGCAGTTCATTCTGAGGCAGGGGGAGTGATGGGAGATTAAGCTTGACAAAGTAATTTAGGAATTCAGACTTGTCTCTGACGGTGGTGGTGAGACACTGGAAGACATCTTGTATTTGGAGATACTGCCTTTATTGGCATAAATAAATACATCCCTGACTATGGTAATTCTAGACATATGGCAGTTCAGCAAGAACTATATCATTTGTTTTTCATATTTAAAAATACTTTTTCTTTTCCCCAGGAATCAAAAGTAGCTCACTTCAAGCTCCAAATGTTTCTGCTAAGACAAATGGCCCCAGACATTCTGTGCAGGCTATTTTGAAACCAGAGGCAAGTAACATTTCTTTTGTCCCAGATACAGATAGAAAAAAATGAAGTAAGAAATTATGATCAAAATTAGTAAAACACAATTTCATTCATTAAAAGACAATTCAGAACAGCCGTATTCCCTGAAATTAACCACTCTATAGTAAGATTTTATAAAAGTTGAAATGCAAACCCACAGTAATAATGCTCTCCCACTTCAGACTTCCAAAGCTCATAGCTGTCAGTTACACTACTCTTGTCATACTGTAAGTAAAGGGAATATCAGTAACAAGTTGTAAACTAGCAAAAAGTGGTAAGATCAAGACTTAAATGTGTTAAACAGATCCAAAATTTGAATGTTACATTTACCTCAATTTTAATAGAGATTTACCAGGAGCAACTTCAATGTTCCCACTTAGCCCTTAGGTTACGGGCTTCCTAAATGATGCGCTTCAAGAACTTCAAAATACATACCTGTGCCCTGCAGAGAAAGCAACAAATTGGGCTTTGAGAATCCTTTTCTTCTAGTGCTGATGGGCGGTGCAGAGATAGCCATGCTGCCTCACCCTGTCCCCTTTGTGAACAGGGATCACTCATCTGATGGTGGAAAGTTGGCGGCAGACATTCAGGGTACAACCTTTGGTCACAGCATAGATTGCCTTTGCGGACTTCCAGATTGTCATTTTAAGAATCAAATCCACGTATTTGGCTCTGTTAGCCCTGTATTAACTGGCTCAGTTGTTCTAAAAAGTTAATATGTTTGAAAGAGGTGTCATCAAGCAGGAAATCCACTAAAGTCTTCCCAAAAGTCTACCTTCACAACTAAGATAGCAAGTGCCATCATTTGCAATGTCCTACATTAAATGCATAGTAAGCAACAGACTCAACTATATATAGCTGCTCAATGTAGCAAGTTAGCCACAATATGCTTCTCTCTATAAACAGATATTTATTAAACAACTGCTGTGTACAGGGCACTGTATTACTATGTCAACATCCATAATTGGTATGCTTAGTTTCTGAAAAAAAGAAACCTAACTATTCTAAGATAGTTTAGTAGTTGTGCATTAGGAATTACTTTTTTCATTAGTTTCACTATGGAGCCATAAAAAAAGTATCCCCTGAGTGTAACATGGATGGTAAACTCAATACTACATACTTTGCCAAAAAGTCAATAAACACATTTAGACTATCAGTTTTTAAAGCAGGCTTTAAAAAATTTTTAATGTTTTTATTTGTTTCTGCGAGAGAGAGACAGCGTGAGCAGGGAGGGTCAGAGAGAAAGAGGGAGACCCAGAATCTGAAGCAGGCTCCAGGCTCTGAGCTGGCAGTCAGCACAGAGCCCGACGCGGGGCTCGAACCCACCAACCGTGAGATCATGACCTGAGCCGAAGTCAGACCCTCAGCCGACTGAGCCACCCAGGCGCCCCCCACCCCTGCCTGCTGCCTTACTGCCAGTTACATTAAATACAATATATGGGGGTGTCTGGGTGGCTCAGTCGGTTGAGTGTCTGACTTCGGCTCAGGTCATGATCTCACGGTTCGTGGGTTCGAGCCCCGCGTCGGGCTCTGTGCTGACTGCCAGCTCAGAGCCTGGAGCCTGCTTCAGATTCTGGGTCTCCCTCTTTCTCTCTGACCCTCCCTGCTCACGCTGTCTCTCTCTCGCAGAAACAAATAAAAACATTAAAAAAATTTAAAGCAGTCTTTAAATATCTATATGAACAATATGAATATATCAAATGGTCACAAAAACCTAATTTATTTTGAGAAATAGCATGACCACTTTTATTACAATAAAATATGATACTATTTTCCAACTTATTTTACCCATTCAATCAGTGTCAGGAAATATACTTCTGATGGCTTATGTTTAGCTCTTAGGCCTGAAAAAAATAAAGTCAACTCTGTTGGATTTATCTTTCTGTATAATTATCTAAGCAGGTAGAGCTCTTGGCCAAATTAGAGGCACATCCTATGCATGCAGAAAACCTGCTCTCTGCCTTCCAGCTTTCTAAAATCATGTCCCCTATAGTTTAAAAACCACACATAATCTTTTTATGTGTTCAGTTGATTACCTTCCATGCTGATCAGTGCATTCCTCAGTTAATTTTAAAATACCAATGAATTATACAAGCCTGTGAATTCTGTAAGTAATATATGTAATATAAACCAAATAAAGCATATATTTTTATTATAAATGGACTTTTAAAATTGTTTTCTTAAATTTCTGTATTTTAAATATGAGAAATAGCTGGTGTTCAAATTCTTTTAAAACTCCTTAGAGGATTTTCATTGTTTTGTTTTTTTTTTCTTGTGGCACATATAGATGAAATATGCTGATTTTAATGAAAAAAGGGCCAAGAAATCAAGCTTTAACTCTGAGACAGGTAAACATTAGCAACAGTTAAGTAAATCCTGAAATCTATTACCCTATTCATTCAACTAACATTTATTGAGCTTCTGCTATATGATAGGCATTTTGCTAATTACTACATACATATAAAGTAGAAACCATACCAAGTAGAAAAGCCATGATCCCTCTCCTGGATTTTACAGTTTGGTGGGGAACAGTTATGCCAATAATCACAACCCATTATAATAAGTGTAATAATGGAGGTATGTACATAGTTCGGTGGAAGCATAAGGAAGCCAGGAAAACTTTTATAGAAGACACAATTGGGCTGAGACATGAAGGAGAAGAAAGAATTTTCTAAGCAGATGAATAGAAGGAGAACCTTCCAGGAAAAGGGAATACATTTACTAAGATACAGACATTAGAGCATAGTACATTTTTGGAAATAGAAATCTTCTCAGAATTGGCTTTATCTAAAAGTTCAAGCTAGAGAATTGCAGAAGATGACTGGTATATAAGGGTTAGATTATTCTCTGGTAGGCCATGCCAAGAAATCTATCTTTTATAAATCTACCTTTTATCCTGTTATTCAAGGGCAACTATTGGAGAATATTGGAAGGGGCATAATATAATCAGAATTTGTCTTTTATAAAAAGGAAAAAAAAAAAAAGAGGGGCATCTGGATGGCTCAGTTGGTTGAGCTCAAGTCATGATCCCAGAGTTGTGGGACTAAGCCCTGCATTAGGCTCCACACTAGAGCCTGCTTGATATTCTCTCTCCCTCTCTCTCTCAAAGATCAGTAGATAGATAGATAGATACATAGATAGATAGATACATAGATAGATAGATAGATAGATAGATAGATAGATAGATAGATGATAGATAAAGGGATAAAAGAATTAGAGGTGAAGAGACTAGAGGAAATGAAACAACAAAAATAATAGCATTTAGTATATGCCAGTTACTATGCTAAACTCATTATATCCTCTCATTTAATCCTCCTACCAACTTAATGAGGACAGAAGTATTTTTATCTACTATTTTACATAAGTAAACTAAGTCTCAGAGTGGTAAATTATCTTGCCCCAGGTTTCATGGTGTATGTGTCAAATCCAAAGTTTTAGCCCAGGTCTGTCTTACTCAACCAATTCTAGCCACATGCCATGCTGTCTCTTTCTACACAATTAAAGAGACTATTACAATAGTCCAGCCTAGAAATGAGTACTGAACAAAGTCAGCGGCAGTGAGGATGAAGAGTTGGGTACAGTTTTGACTCAAATTAAGGAGGTCGAATGGATGAGATTTGGTTACTGATTGAATATGGGAGATTAAGGAGTTGAAGACAACTCCCAGATTTCTAGCCTGGGCAAATAAATAGGTAGTGAATAGTGGTTCCATTCAGTAGACAGGCAGTACAGAAGGATGAGCAAGTTTGGAGGATAAAAAAAATTAGTTCAACTTTTTAAGGTAGATTTTACTTTATCCTTTTAATTCCCTCTTTGATTTGAGAGTTATCCATGTTTCTTAATTATCAAGAAATTAATATTTTAGGTCACAGTTTTTTTAATTAAATTCAGAGAATATAGCCCGTAAATCTTTAACACGTTGAAGTTGTTAAGGTTTTCTTTGTGGCCAAATATGTGATTGCTATTTGAAAGTGCTCCATAGATATACCTAAAAAATGTATATTCTCTATTTGAAGGATGTAAGGGTCTAAATGAATATTAAATTACATTTATTGATTATATGTCTTTACTGATTTTTTTGTCTACTAGATTTTTCTTCTTATTGTCTACTAGATGTGTCCAGCCATTAAAGAGGTGTTTTGAAGTTCTACACAATAATTGTATTTTTATCAAATTCCTGTTGCATTTCTAATATGTTTCACACAGACTCTTCAGGATATTTATTCAACCATAGAAGACTTATTTATTTTTTGTAACAGTCACATTAGTTATCTGTTGCTAAGTTAACAAATTACCCCATAGCTCAGTGGCTTAAAAAAACAATCAGTATTATCCTACCGTTTCTGTGGTTAAGAATATAGGAACAACTTATCTGGGTGGTTCTGACTCAGGGTCTCTCATAAGGTTATGGTCAAGATGTAATCCAGAGATGTTGCAGTCATTTAAAGGATTGACTGGGACTGGAGGATTCCCTTCCAAAATGGCTCGCTCACATAGCTGTTGTCAGGAGATCTCAGTGCCTCACCCGTGGGCCTATCCATAGGGCTTCTTGAATATCTTCATGATATGGCATCTGGCATCCCCCTCAGAGTGAGTGATCCAAGATAGAGGGGATGAAACCACAATATATTTTATAACCTAGTTTCAGAAGCTATACACCATCACTTCTACCCTGTACGGTTCATTAGAACGAAGTCACTAAGTCCAACCCACACTCAAGGGGAAGAAGGTTAACCTCCACTTCTTGGAGGGAGTATTAACAAGGAATTTGTAGACATACTTTAAAACCACCACAACAGGAGCACCTGGGTAGCTTAGTTGGTTAAGTGTCTGACTCTTGGTTTTGCCTCAGTTCATGATCTCACAGTGAGATCGAACCCCATGTTGGGCTCTGCACTAACAGCATGGAGCCTTCTTGGGATTCTCTCTCTCTTCCTCTCTCTCTGTCCCTCCCCCACTTACACTCTCTCACCCTCTCTCAAAACAAACAAACAAACAAACATTTAAAAAATAAAACCACCACAATAGTGTTATCTTCATACTTATTTTTTCAGGTTTATGCACTATTAATTCTAGCTCCTTCCTTTCCAAAACTATACACGTGCAAAAACATACTCATATACAAAGAAACTCAAGAAGGCACATAGAATTTTAAGTAAATCTTTTAAAGCAGATCATTGGAATTTATTGATTATTCACAGTACACTTTATATTTATTAGGAGAAAGATAAATAGTAATTCACCTTTACTTTGAACTGGCTGTAATTGGTAATACAATTTTCTATTAATCAGAGAATTGTTTGTATAAGACTATTTAGTCATGTATACATATAAGTGACATACACCATTCCAATATTCCTATAGAAATATTCTACATGAAGACTGGCTTTAGGGATAATTATCCAGAAATATTTTCTAAACTCCACTTATGCAACTTTGCTAGATGTCATGCAAAGACAATATTTGAGTGGAAAGAGATTATGACTATTAGAATAATAAAAAAAACTTTGATCCAACATCTATGTTAAAGAATTGATTCAATAAATAAGTATTACTGAGTGCTTACTATATGCCAGGCACTGTAAACTATAGGATAGTAAGTCCTATAAGAGAAGGAAAGTATAGGGTGCTTCAGGAGCATTGACAGAGGGTACCTGTCTAT